TCTCTATTCTGATCAATAGAAGCCCATGTGGCTTCTTCTCGTCATACAGAGGTCTGAGACAAGGGGACCCCTTATCCCCTTTTCTCTTTATCTTGGCCATGGAAGGACTAAACAACGTATTTCAAACAGCAAAAGTAAAGGGCTGGATCCGAGGTTTCCAAGTGGGAAATAATACAAGAAATAATCTAGAGATTACTCATCTACAATATGCAGATGACACTCTAGTTTTTTGTGATGCAGTAGAGGAGCAGATGCTGATTTTGAGGGTCATCTTCAATATTTTTTAGGCTGTTTCAGGTCTGCACATAAACTGGAGCAAGAGTTTCATCTATCCAGTAAACACAGTGGTAAATATTGAAGACCTAGCCAATACACTAGGAGGGAAAGTGGGTGAATTACCAACAACCTACTTGGGAATGCCTTTGGGGTCTAAGAGCAAGTCAAAAGAAATATGGAGTGGAGTAATTGAGAAATGTGAAAGGAAGCTTGCTAACTGGAAGTGTCAATATTTATCGTCAGGTGGCAGACTAACTCTAGTTAACAGTGTCCTGGATGCCCTTCCCTCGTACATAATGTCATTATTCCCTATACCAGCCAAGGTAACCAAGAGGTTGGATGCGATTAGGAGGAACTTCTTATGGTAGGGAAGCGAAGATAAGAGAAAGTACCATTTGGTCAAATGGGAGGAACTGCTAGTAAGTAAGAGAGGGGGTGGACTCAATATCAGAGAGCTGAAAACCCAAAACAAGAGTTTGATGATGAAATGGTTGTGGAAATTTGTCTTACCAGAAGTATCTCTATGGAAGGAAGTAATAATACAAAAATATGGCATGGAGGATAAATGGATGATAGAGGTGGTCACCAACCCTTACAATTGTAGTGTATGAAGGTCTATCAGGAACCTATGGCAGCTGGTCAAAGAGAGAACAAGTTGCAAGGTGGACAATGGAGAAAAAGTAGCTTTTTGGAATGCCATTTGGTGTGGACAGGAAGCACTCAAACATGCCTTCCCTGTACTACATAGTCTGAGCCAAGGACAAGAAGCAACAATGGCAGAATTATGGATAGGACAAGGGTGGAACCTGGCTCTAAGAAGGGGACTAAATGATTGAGAGATGACAGCCATAGCAAGATTTCATGATACAATGCAAATGGCTACCAATCTGACAGGAGAGGAAGATAGACTAGTATGGAAGGGGGAGAGTTCACTGTAAAATCAGCATACAGAGAACTCAGGTCTACGGAGGAGCAACATGCAGGATGGCCCTGGAGGATGATCTGGAGAACAGAAATTCCCTACAAGGTGAATTATTTCACATGGCTCTTGGCAAAGCAGGCAGTCTTGACACATGAGAACTTAAATAGGAGGAAACCCAATCTACGCTCTAGTTGCTATCTATGTGAAGAACAGGTGGAGACAGTCAATCATCTCTTTTTACACTGCAAATGGACTGATCAATTGTGGCAGATGTTAATCCAAAAGAGGAAGATTAAGTGGACAAAGCCTGGGAGTATTATAGAAGTCCTACAATGTTGGAACGGGGATGAAAATGCAGGAAAAAATGAGAAGAGATGGAGGATTGTCCCAGCTTGCATTTGGTGGACAATTTGGAAGGAAAGGAATCAAAGATGCTTTGAAGGAAAACAAAACAATATCCAGATGATAAAGACTAATTGCCTAGGGCTTTATTATTTTTGGTGTAAGCAAGTAGTGATAGGAGATACTGAAAATGTGTTTAATATTATTGACTGGTTGTAACTAGAAGATCCTAGGAATGATGTAAGTAAAACTTTTTGGAGGGGGACTACACTTTTGATGTAGTATACCTGTGGATATATAGAAGTAATGTTACCTTTCTCAAAAATAAAATAAAAATATTGGGTATAAATATTTAAAAAATGACACCGCTTGTCATTATAGTAATTTGTTAGTTTGTTCACTACTAAATATACGGCACAACTAAAGTAAAATTAGTTGCATAGGTTAACATACACAAAATTGAGTTGTTGCATGACCTTTAAATGTAGGGACTATAGGTATGGTTCACTAGTTTATCACAGATTGTCTTAACATTTTTTAACTAACCTATATGAAAAACTGAGAAAATCTTGAGAAAATTTATGGTTCTAAAAATATTGGACCAAACATAGTCATTCAGTAAAATCCCAAAAATTAATGGACGATTACATACGAGAAATTGAAATAATCTTGAATTTCAGTCTAGGACACTTAAATTCCAAAGCAAAATGACTTTCTTCTTTCGAAAATAATGAATATCATTTGATAGGTAATTAACAATGGACTCACAAAATTTAAGATCAAACAGAGTGTCACATATATTTTGAAAAAATTATGGACTAATACCTCAGGAAAAAGTTAAGATGATCCTAAATTTCTATTGCATAACTCATAAAATTCAAAAAAGCATCTTCAACTTGTTTTTGGCCGAAATTTTTCATGGACACCTGTTACGACCTTAGGAGTGGCGTGAGTTGGTCCTGAGGGGTAAACAGACAAATTTTATAGTTCAAACGAGCCCCACTGTGGGAAAAACTAAATTTATCGATTTTCGTATGCTATAGTCCATAGATTTTTGGGTGATATGTAATCCTGACTTGTTATTAGCTGAAATTTTTCATGGTCGTCTATTACGACCTTATTAATAGCGTGAGTTGGTCCCGAGGAGCAAACATACGTATTTTCAAGTTCAACCAATTCCCAATGCGGGAAAAAATAAAGATTACCAATTTTCGAGTGCTATAGTCCAGAGATTTTTGGTGATACGTGATTTCAACTTGTTTTTGGTTGAAATTTTTTAGAGACGTCCGTTCCGACCTTATTAACGGCGTGAGTTGGTCCCGGAGGAGGGTAAATAGATGCATTTTCAAGTTCAAACGAGCCTCAATGTGAAAAAAAATCAAATTTACTAATTTACATGTGCTATAGTCCATGGATTTTTGGTGATACGTGATCCTGACTTTTTTTGGCTGAATTTTTTCATGGACGTTCATTACGACCTTATTAATGGCATGAGTTGGTCCCGACGGGCAAATCGACGCATTTTCAAGTTCAAACGAGCCCAATTGCGAGAAAAACAAAATTTAACGATTTTCGTGTGCTATAGTTCATGAACTTTTGGTGGTACGTGATCTAGACTTGTTTTTGGCCGAATTTTTTCATGGAAGTCTGTTACAATCTTATTAATGGCGTGAGTTGGTCCCGAGGGGCAAACATACACATTTTCAAGTTCAAAAGAGCCCCAATGCGGGAAAAACTAAATTTACCAATTTTCATATGCTATAATCCATGTATTTTTTGGTAATACGTGATTCCGACTTGTTTTTTATCGAACTTTTTCATGGATGTTCGTTACGTCCTTATTAATAGCGTGTGTTGGTCCCGAGGGGAAACCAAACGCATTTTCAAGTTCAAATGAGCCCCAATGCGGGAAAAATCAAATTTATTGATTTTCGTGTGCTATAGTCTATGAATTTTTGTTATACATTATCCCGACTTATTTTTGGCCGAATTTTTTCATGGACGTCCGATACGACCTTATTATTGGCTTGAGGTCGTCCCGAGGGGCAAACAGCCGCATTTTCAAGTATAAACGAGCCTATATGCGGGAAAAACAGAATTTACCAATTTTCATGTGCTATAGAATATGGATTGTTTGTAATACGTGATCCCGACTTGTTTTTGGACAAAATTTTTCACGGACGTCCATTACGACCTTATTAATGGTGTGAGTTGGCCCAGAGCGGCAAACAGACGCATTTTCAAGTTCAATGCCCCAATGCGGAAAAAAACCAAATTTATTGATTTTCACATGCTATAATAGTCCATGAATTTTTGGAGATACGTGATCCCAACTTATTTTTGGCCGAAATTTTTCATGGACATTTGTTACGACCTTATTAATGGTGTGAGTTGGTCCCGAGGGGAAAATGGATGTGTTTTCATGTTCAAACGAGCCCCAATGCGTGAAAAACCAAATGTATCGATTTTCGTGTGCATAAGTGATCCCGATTTGTTTTGGCCAAACTTTTTCATGACGTCCGTTACGACCTTATTAATGACGTGAGTTGGTCCCGATGGGTAAACATATGCATTTTCAAGTTCAAATGAGCCCGAATGTGAGAAAATCCAAATTTACTTGATTTTCGTGTACTATAGTTCATGGATATTTGGGGATATGAGATCCCGACTTATTTTTGGCCGAATTTTTCATAGACGTCCGTTATGACCTTATTAATGGTGTGAGTTGGTCCCGAGGAAACAGACGCATTTTCAAGTTCAAACGATTCCTAATGTGGAAAAAATTAAATTTACCGATTTTTGTGTGCTATTATCCATGGATTTTTGGTGATACGTGATGCTGACTTGTTTTTGGCCGAATTTTTTAATGGACGTCTATAACGACCTTATTAATAGAGTGTGTTGGTTCTGAGGGGAAAATCGACGCATTTTCAATTTCAAACGAGCCCTAATGCGGGAAAAACCAAATTTACCATTTTCATGTGCTTTAGTCCATGAATTTTTGGTGATACGTGATCTCGACTTGTTTTTAGCCAAAATTTTTCATGGACGTCCATTACGACCTTATTAATGGCGTGAGTTGGTCTTGAGGGGAAAACATATGCATTTTCAAGTTCAAACGAGCCCTAATGTGGGGAAAACAAAATTTATCAATTTTGTGTGCTATAATCCATGAATTTTTGGTGATACGTGATCCCGACTTGTTGTTGGCCAAATTTTTTCATGAACGTCCGTTACGACCTTATTAATGGCGTGAGTTGGTCCCGATGGGCAAACAAACACATTTTCATTTCAAATGAGCTCCAATGCGGGAAAAATCAAATTTACCGATTTTCGTGCTATGGTCCATGGATATTTGGTGATACGTGATCCCAACCTTTCGAAAATAATGGTATTATCAACGAATTTTGAGTTCAAATAGAGTCGATTATACATATTTCAAAAAATTAATGGACTAGTTCTAAAAGCATCATCAGCTTTTGATTCCATTTCCTTTAATAGAAAGTTTGTGTTACAAACATCTAAGTAAAAACTAGAAGATCCACCAAGCCATTCAAGCAAAAAACTGAAGGCAAAATAAAGCCCAAAAAAAAAGAATGTCAAAAACAAAAAAAATTCAGGTATAATTAGAGATCAAAAAAGTGATTAGGAGCTTTCTTTTGTAGAATGAAGCAATCCAACTGCAAAAAAACTATATACTTCAATATGAGTCTGGTGTAATTTCTTTCAATGCCAAGAATGGTGCTTGAATCGCCCGACGATATCGTGCAAGGTGAGTTTTAAGTTAATCACTATGAAGAACCAATGCTCGAGAGATAGATGTTCGTACACTGATAAGGGATGTATGAATTCTCAAGAAGAGAGGAGTTGTGGTGCTCCAACCTGAACCTCCTCGATCACACGATTGAATCGATAGTTGAATCTACATTGGATCTCAAATGTTGCATTTCCCAGGGAATACCTTGATAATAAATATTCTTAGGATATTGGCAGCAACTTAGTATGGAAAAAAAGACATGCTTTAAAGGTATTGATCTTGTATTCTATCCCTGTTTTGTTCCCACCACTGCTTCGCGTTCACCTCCCCAAATTTTTCGCGGCTGCATAGACGAAAAAGAAGTTAGAAGAAGCTATTTTAAGTGAGTAGCATTAACATTTAAGGTTCTAAGTTCCAGCAATGTTTGAAACATCTAATGTGAAATCCAAAAACTTGTTCAATTCGCGCTCAAATTTCTTGTTCTTTATTACATTAGTTAACCAAAGGACTAGTGTCAACTGAATGTCTAAACCAACCGGACTATTAAGATTCTCCTGTCAACTGAATGTCTAAACCAGATTTTCAACGCCCCGCCTCTTGTCCAACTGAACAAATAAAGCATGGTAGAACAAGGGAACTTGAAAACAACAACAATAACAACCATCCTTCAATCCCAAACAAGTTAGGGTCGGTTACATGAATCATTGTTTATGTTGAGCCTTATAAACCCATGTAAGTCCTCTGCATTTTTTTCCACTGGCAACAACACTATTCTATGGTTATCAAAGAAAATGTTCTCCACAATTTTACAGACATACAAATCTCTAACAAGACTAAGCCTATAGTAATCGCACTAACTAGGGAGCTAGAAAATATGAAATACCTGAATCTTACACGCCGTAGCTCTCTAGTTCCATCAGCTAGTTGTCTGATGGTTATATATACTCCTGGCTCATCTTCTGCTATCCATTCTGACTCTCCATCACCAGCAATGCTCATGGATACTGAAGCATCGTCTCTTGAATCAGTTGTCATCCTTGATGGATCCATAGATGACATCTCACCCTTTGGAAAGCCGGAGGCATAAGAACTGGGCCCTCCATAGTTATATTGACTGCTGCTGGATGGTCTATAATTTCTCTGAGTCCACTCTTTGCTTTCCCTAGGTGATCCAAGCCTTGAATAATTGGAATCTCTCTGCAGATGACAAAAACAACAACATGAAATTCAAAATTTTAGTGAAAGCTAATGCTTAGTAGTTAGTACATCTGAGGTTCTTTTGCAAAACTATAAAAAAAAATTGGCATGTGATTCATAATATGCATAATACATAAACACACTCAAAAATGTGGCCTCAGCTAATAAGTAAACACTTCAACTTTGAGAGTGCACATCTAGACACGTCACCTTGGTCTCAAAGGACAACTAAACACTAACTCATCATCACTGTATCTCGTTGACGCCCAATGCTAATGTGACACAAATTTTGGAGTCTAGATGATCAGTTTATAAGTTGGAGAGTTCAACCGGCACAGTGGAGACGAGTTGAGGTGTCTAGATGTGCATACTCAAAGTAGGAGTGTTTAGTTGTCATATGAGGCCAAGTTAAAGTGTCTATCTATATATTATGACTTCATAATAAGATGTGCTAGGCAAAACTGGAGGTACTTGTACTTCTACAAGGAATCATAATCTTTTAAAATTTTATAGCTGAAAACAGTGCTTACGGTTTAACTAGGCCCGTTAATTCTAACGTACAAAATGGTATAAAGCAAATTCTATACAGCAAATGAATTCACTCTCAAGTTTTTACCTTTGGAACTGTTCCATTCAAACCAAATTTTGAGTACTATAAACCGATCCCTTTGTTGAAACTGTTAAATTTCTCAACAGATCTTCCCAACAGTGAAGTTAAATTCATTCTACTGTTCAATCCTAGTTGTACTAGTGCTAGCCATTTACTTTTGAATAAAGACTAGATAATTAAGATTCAATGTAAAAGGGGAAACTGAAACAGAAAAGATGCCCCAACTTGGGAATTCTTGTTGTAGAGTCTGATGCAACGATGAATAGAACTTATCAACTAGAAGATGTTGAAACATTTGTACTAGAAAACCAGAATCTGCAGCGGTAACTTGAAATAGTTCATGAATACCAGTAGAGCTAATATTTTCAGAAGTTTAATAGGTGATGAATATCAAAGTATCATCAAGATGATGATGAATATCAAAGCAGCAGCAAATTGAAGATGAGTTTTACACATATAAAATACGAATAAATGGTGCAGCATTCTTACTCCAAGCTCAGACCGCCCAGGAGTGTCCATAGCTTGCTGATTGAATTTCTGGACATTGTAGAGCTCCATAATTCTGTCAAAATTCTCACCCCACCATCTTTGAGCTTGCCATTTATCGAACATATCCCGACTTCAAGTTAACGTGTGAAACTAATGTCAGTACACTTAGGATAGTTTTATAGAGACAGTTGGAAAGCTACATGCCATGTGCACATTCAATCAACTAAGCTAGTAGCTCAGATGTTACCTTATTCATAAATAAGAGAAAATAACGGTAATAGTAAACATGCAAGAACTTAGCAGAACAAAAGAAAACCATCCTATGGTACATTATCTTTCGTCTGCTTTGACAATGTCGATATATAACACAAGCTATGGGATTTCATGCAAATTGATAAACTTCACTAGAATTAGCAAAACTTGTGTGATGTCTAAATTTGTCTCTTGCACATCCATATCAGATATGTACCTGTTCTCGGATACATGTGACATATACTCACTAAAACTTTGAACCAACTTATGGAGTTAAATGCGTTGGTAGAGGAATCTTTACATCAAAACTTCATAAAGAACAAGAATGAATAGAAGTATAAACTTATATACATATATATAATGAATATTGTACCAAATGATTCATGAAGACGCAAATCCCTAAAGAACTGGTGTGCATTGATTCTACATTGACAAAAGAATCGAATATTCATTGATGAATGGAAGGGACTGAAGGTGGTCATGCTTCTATTTTGAAGGGTGTGAAAGATGAAAGTTCTAAAGAAAGTTTAATTATAAAGACAAAACATCGAATATTTCACATAATCAAGTTTCAAGACAGAAAGGTTCTTGATATATACCTAAAGCGGATTCGTTTGAGATCATTTCCACCAGTTGGAAGTGAGACAAAAGTAATCTGAACACCAGGCTCCACCTGAGCTATCCACTCTTTTGGCCCCTCCTCATCTGGCAGCACCATATCACCTGTCTGAGAGTAGACGGATTCTCTCTTTTCATCGTCACCACCACCACCACCATATCCTCCGACAAATCTTGGATCTGCTCGAGGAGTTCGATGATTACGGGTAAAATCCCAAGCTGGAGTAGAACTTGAACTTCCAGGTTGATATGGAACTTCCTCTGAAATTGTTTCAAAATCAGGATATGCTCTGCCCCCTCCTCTCCTGTAACCACTTGTTGGTGTACTAGACTTGCTGCTTTTACCAGAGACCTTTAATGCAATATCTTTGATCTGCAAATTTGTAAATCCATAAGTTTTACAAGAAGTACAAAGTGAGAAAGATGAATGCTTTGTTTGAAGATCAACAGAAATATCTTAGCTTAAAAGTAGTACATGTCCAAGATTATAAGAGCAGACTTCAGTAGCTAAATTTGGTATGGGCAAGCACAAGTTAAAATTCGAGTTCGGACTATAAGTTAACATACTTCCGTGTTTTAACAATTGAATTACATATTAAAATATTGTTGTTTGTTGTTGACATTACATTTCAACCGTGGCGTTTGAATCAAACATCTACACACCTCAACTATTTCACCTTGTTACCTTCCACTATAATTGTTATCGAGTAACTCTTCCTACCAAAACTTACATAAATGAAAGAAAATCACCAATTGTTTTCTTGTATTTGTTGGTATTTGAATCCTGTTTCAGTTGGCCAAGGCTGAGTGTCCAGAAGCAGTAACATTATTGACTCTTTGTCCTTACAATACTTAAAAGTAACCCATCTTCACAAGACAAAAATATTACTCCCTTTGTCACAATTTATGTGGTAGTTTTTGACTGGTCATAAAATTTAAGAAAGAAAGAAATACTTTTGATACTTGTGATCTAAAACAAGACATACATCATCTCTTTAAGGATAAAACAACAAGGTTAACATTTTAAATTATTTCTAAACAAAGAAGTATGTCATTCTTTTTTCAACGACTAAAAAGTAAAGTATGACACATAAACAAAAGCACTACACCAAAAATCATCTTTTTTGTAGTTAATTAACGGCAATACCTTAACTGCCGCTAAATATGTTTTTTTAGTGGCAATTAGAATTTTTTGTCAATGTCCCTAAAGTCTATAGCGACACTGGATCTAATGGATTCACTAATGTCGGTAAGAACTTTAATACGTTTTATTAATGTACTATTTTTTACCGCTAAAAGTAGTTTTTTGTTGTAGTGAAGGAGTAGGTGATTTTCCCCATCTTTTTTGAACTTTCTTGAGCTAAGTAATTTGCCAAATAGTCGAGAGTATGCACAAGTTGGCCCCAACACTACATCTAAAAGAAGTGAAACCAGATTGGTCCAAAAGCAATGGCATTATTGATTGGTTGTCCTAACAAATATATAAAGTCACTTACTTTCATAGGTTAACTCCACTGAGTGTTAATCAATTTAATAATTGAAAGTATGCAAGATTGAGTAAGCTGAAGGCTGGAGAACAGTGAATCATGGGACAAAAATTCAACAGTGGGTCAGGTAAAAGAAACTTAGACTTGTCTTTTCCAGACATGCATGTTGTCTTTTTCCTCAGAATCTCTTATACTTTGGATTTTGTGGTATTATTGACTTGACCAAAAAAAAAAAAACAGGCTAAAGAATAACTCGATCAACTATCTCATGATGGGCAAAATCAGACATGGCATAAAGATGATTGTAAGCTTTACTAAAATCTATGTTATATTGGAAAAGAATAGAGGTAGGTTTATATAATGTTGTTCAGTGTACTAATCTGGAGAAAATGACAAAAAGGGTCCCATATATTTGAGGGTAAGTTCAAAATAGTTCCTTTAATTATGCATTGAACAATTTTGGTCCTTTAAGTTTGTCGAAAGTTAGTCTCCGCCAAATAACAAACTATGTCTATTAGGAATCGTTTGGTGTGAGATATAAGGTATAATAATCACAGGAATAAAATGCAAGACTATTTTACCCTGCATTTAGTTGGAAGTGTTAGATAGTCCTGAAATTATTTATCCCACCATTTGTACCTTAGTGATTGAAGTTAATTATCTCATACACATGGTGAAATAACTTATTCCGAAATTAATAATCTCGGGATAACTTGTTCCCAACCAAACGACTCCTCAGTGTTAGTGCATCATTAAGAAATTATTATTCTGAACCTACCCTTAACCATAACGGATCATCCACAACTTTCCCTGAACCCCGCGCATAATGGAAAGCTTAGTACATCAGACTTCCATTTAGAAAGAATATAAATTCTTGATTGCTCAACCAAAAGAGATAAAGGTGCAGCAAGGGGGACTTGGGTCTAGAATTTTTTTGAGTATCTGAATAAATTATTTTTATATATTTAGTAGATTTTAAAGAAAGATATAGAATTTTGACAAAAGCTATTAAGCTCTACAAAATTTCTAATTATAACTCTAGCTCCATCCTTAAGGGGATTAGTGGTGAATGAAAACTATGAGAGATTAAAGTAAAATGCTCATTACTTCTTTTCATATATTTAATCTTAGTGAACAGAGTTATCGGATGACCGATAAAATATGATGAACATTCAATAATATATGAAATACGCGCAAATAGACTAGAACACTATTTGTGTTTTTAGAAAAAAAAAAAAGAAAGATAGTGTAGCATGTGATGTTTTCAATCTATTTTTTTATTTAGACGTTTACACAAGTGGCAATATGATTTGTCTCCATCATCTCGAAAACACAATTACCACGTAATATTTAATTCTTAAAAAGATTCCTTCTGGTCTAGTTAAATCCACTTACAGTTACTTGTGCTTTTTAGTTAATGATGACTGTTTAGAATATTTTATTTTAAAAAAAGAAAGTTATTTTAAGTTGTGTTATCCAAAATTTTCAAAAATATCAATAGGTGTGAGTTAAATTCTTAAAAAAAAAGTTGAAGTATTTGAAAATAAGGACAACTCAATACACTAAACCCTCGTGCATGATCAAGAGAAGTATTGGACTATAAGGATTTACGTTTTACTGTTTTCACAATTTTAACTCGTGACCTTTTAGTTATTTGACAATAATTTTATCAGTTTAGCCAAGACTCTTGTAATGACTAAAAATTAAACACATGACACTAGTTCTAATTAGAGTTTTAGACACTAATTAAATTGATAAGATATCAAGATATTTGGGGTTAGTGATTATGTTATATAAGATTACATACTTCCAACCAAATATTTTTTTCAATAAATACTTTTACGTCATGAATATTATATAGTCTACCAAAAAATAAAAAATAAAAAATAAAAAAGAATATTGTGGCTGCAATTTAAAGAGAAATTGACATAAATATACATTTTTAATACAAAATAATACATGCTAGTACTTTTATATATTTATCTAGTAAATGTAATTATTTTACTGGCTAGAGCCTAGATGTTTAACTTGCCCATTAAATATTAGAGACAATAACAACATAATAATAGAATATATGCAAATCTTATTCAATCTCATAAAAATAAAACTATTTTCGAAGGATCTTTAACTCGAGTACTTCATATTAAAATAGGAAATCATGAAGATAGAGACTTATAGTTGAATGATGGTGGAAAAAAAAAAGAAGAAAAGATAAAAGTTGGAACATTATGGGACCAATTTAAAAAATTAAACACATGATCCAAGAAATAGCATGATTATGATCTCAAAAAAAAATTAAAAATGACCCTAGTTGTAGGGTAAAATAAGTAATTTTTTTATTGACATCATAGTGCCCACAAATAAAAGCCTTTATTGATCTTTGGGCCTCTCTTGGATCAAACACATACAATGGTCCTCCCCACACTTACCCAAGTAGCCAAAAAGTTTTTATTCCATTTTATGCTCAATTCCAAAAATAGCCTAGATTCAATTGGGATGTGGGCCCCACCAATTTATATAACACGCTTTTCAATTTTAAGTTTATTTCAAAAAGAATGGCATGCTTTGATATTTTAAAAATAATTTTATTTGAAAATTTTATTTTATTCTTAATGAGTTTTTTTAACTATATAAATATAATAGACTTGTTTTACACCATATATTTCAACTTTGTTTCTTAAATTTTATGTTTAATTAAATAGTGCTACATATTAGAAAAGAGGAAATGTGTGGTTAACTTAACATTCTTCCTTTTGTGTAACGATGGTATTCAGGTCAACTTGCGTACAACTCAAATAATTTAATGGAGTACCTAATCTCATCAGCATAAGAACTAAACAACTCTATCCATCAAGATAAAATCACTTAGTGTTTTGGTTTTCACAAACTTTAAACACGACACCCCATAATTTTCAACTCATCTTATTGACCAAATAGGTCATACCTCATCGATTTAATATGTTTAAACTATCGAGTGATACAATGATATGATTAAAATCTAAATCTCATATCTCTTAATTTAACTCGATTTTAAATTTTGAAAAATATAATTTTATTTTTATAAAGATCATTTATTTGTTTAATTAACTTGATCACGCGAATTTAAAATAATCGAATCAATAAGAGCAAGGGAAGGTGTAGGATAAGAACCTGGGCGGTCAAGCTTTTGACTGATTCTTTAGTATTAGGGGTCCCACGTGGACCTTCTTCTCCTCCATCATCATCTATTTTTTGCTTACAAGTTATACACGTCAGCATTTCCCTTTAATTTTTCTTCTACTTTTTTTTTAAAAAAAAAAAAACTTTCTTTTCCTTGGTACCTGCAAAAATTAATTAACCATTAATATGCGAATATGTCAATCGAGAAAGAAATTTCGACAGTAGATGAAGGATCAGATAATAACAATGATGTATTCAGTATAATTTATGAAATAAAAAAATAAAAATTGTTTTCAATGAACTTTCAATTCAAATAAAACATAAGATAATCGGTATGAACAAGAAATATAGTGAAGTAATAGAGATAAAAAACAATAGCAACATATATGATATAATAACCAAGCAATACATTAATTTATCTAGATTTTTATATTCATTTAATCATTTAGGCTTATTTCTTAGGAAAAGATTACTCCCTTCATTTCATATTAATTAAATTGTTAAGGTGTTTAACACCTATTCTCTCTGTTCCTATTTACTTCTCCACTTTTGAATTGACACATATTAAGAAAACAATTAACATAGTGAATTTACCATTTTACTCCTATTAATTATAAAGTGGATGAAAAATTCTACATTTTTCAAAGTAATTAGACATTTAATTGAGGGTATAATAGGTAAAAAAAATTGTCTTTTCTTAATTTGTCAAAATGGACAAGTAATTAGAGACAACTATAAAAGGAAAAGTGGACAAGTAATTAGGGAGAATAAGTATAAGAAAAGAAGGTTAAGACATAAATTAGGCATAACTTTTCATTTTTACCCTTATCAATTATTGTCAAATTTATGATTAAAATAACTAAATATTAATTAATAACTAATTTCAATACTAACTAATGAAGGGTAAAATTGAAAGAACATTCTAAAAATAGTTTTAAAAATTAAACAATTAAATTAATTTGAAAAATGAAAAATATTTCAAAAATTCAATTAATTTGAAAGGGTAGGAGTTACTAATAACTATGACAAAATGTGTCACCCTTTATTTTTCTTTTAAAATTTTAATAGTGACATTTTAAATGTGAAATGATATGACACCTCTTGTAATAGTGGCCTTAAATGTGTACTATACATTTTCCCAAAAAAAATAATATATAGAGACAATATTTAATTCAAGAGGAAGTCACCATCCACATCAATACAAGGGGAAATAAAGTGAAAAATTAACACTATTCTAATCAGCACATATCACTTTTTAAGAGTTTGTCTTTTTGTCTCAAACAAGAATTCTTATACATAATTAAATAAAAAAAAAGACAAGAATTCCTTTCTTTTTAATTGTTGCATATGCCAATTCTTGTTAATGTATCATCACAAATTTAAGTTATATACATCAGCAAATAAATATCTATATTATTATGTCACCTCAAGAATACTTGAAAGAATCTTCATTAAAAAAAATGAGATCTATAATCTTAAAAATGGAGAAAAATGAGATAAATTACTTATTTTAACATATAAAAATATCCGATCGTGTAAGTTCTACTAACTAAATATATAATGTAAATCATAATTTAGACATACCTTAAAAAAAATATGCGAAATGAATATGTAGTTTTTAAAGCTTTTAATTCAAAAGGTATTTTCACACATAACAAAGGAAAAATAGCTCTTTTTAAAAAAATAACAACCATAAAACAAAATATTTCCACAAAGAAAAGAAGTGTGAAAATACAATGCTAGTGCAATAATATAGCCTTTATTTTGTACTCTACTAGCAAAGCAATTTTTTTTTTTATGACAAGGAATCACTATATTTTGAATACGCATAAAGTAAGTTTCGTTTCAATGTAATAACATACAGATCATACAGAAGAGGTGAATCACACTAAATATGATGAGCTCAATTGAAAAAAAAAAAAAGAAGTTAAAAAATGGGCTCAGAATTCGAGGAAGTGAAATTAATAAAAGGGGAAAAAGAAGAATTGGAATTTTTGGGAGAAGAGAATGAAATAGTAGTCACTTGTTGAATTCCAATCCCAAAGTGATTTCCTCTATGCTTTCTTTAAAGCATATAGACACCCAATAAAAAAAGCAGAGAATAAAATAAAATAAAAATAGCAAAAAAAAAAATTCTATTTTCTTTGAAAATTACTCCATAAAATAGTAAAAAATATTCAATTAAACTATTATTAAAATTAAGTTAAATTTAAACATTCAAAATTATATAAGAATAATATTAGAAAAACAAAATTTGAATATAATTTGACATGATTAAAAAGTTCATATAATTTGAATTTAGAAAAACAAAAAATATCCCACAAATTGAGACATACTATTTTGCAAATCAATAGTAATTTGTTATATGGTTTTTTTTCCATTTTCAATAACAATTTTCACTTCTAAACCTTTTTAACATTTTTTTTTTCAGACAAAAGATACCATTCAATGTATAAAACTATATCTTTTTTACGTCGAAAATAATTGTACCTTAAAAAATGTGACATACACATTTATAATTATGCAAGCATTAGTGATGGCTGACTCAAATCGAAAGAAAAAGCAAATAAAGTGAGTGTGTAGTAGCAGTACTTGCAGAAGTAGCATAATAGGGAGTTGGAAAAATGAATGAGTAAAGTCCAGTTGAAAATTCGTATTATCTTATTCTTCGATTTTATTTATTAATTCAATTGTTAGGACGTGGATAATTTACTAAAAATAATTTCCATTACATACTAATGTTCTCAAATTCATTTTTAAGATTGCACTAACTATCGATTAGGAGACGAAGAATCGAAAAATAACGAACTAATTAAGCTATTAAATTTTTTTCAGACATTAAATCAAAAACAACAAACATCAAAAAAATTTTAAAACAAAAAAATCAAACCCAGAAAAAAAAGTTGAAATTAATCAAATAATTTTCAAATTAATCAAAAAATTCATACCTGAAATAGTCACGAAAGCTCTAATTCATCAAAATCTACTCGAAATCAGTTGAATTTAGCATCTGCATCCAAATCGCTATTTTTCTCTCTTCCGTTTTGTGTATTATGAGTCAAAAATGGGAACTCAAAACCCTAGGTAAATCAAATCAATGAGCTGTGACCAAAATCTATTCCAACGAATCTTCAGCAAAAAAAAAAGAAGGGAATATTCGCCGGCGCCGGCGCAACTCACCGCCGGCGAATTTTCAAAGAGATTCTACCGAGCGTTTCAAATCGGGAAAGAAAATCAGATTCTCTTCTCCAAGGTTTTACGTTTATAGTGACGAGAATCAGAATCTGCAGATACTATATTTATATATATATATAAAATAAATAAATAAAATAAAATAAAAAATATATATATATAATACACACAGTGAGTGTGTTTGTGTGTGTAATTTTGGGAAGAAAAACAAATATAGAATGCAGACAAAGTAGAGAAGAAAACGGGATAATGTTTGAGGTATTTATAGAACGAACAGAAGTGACGCCGTCATTTTTTGTGGTGTCGTTATCTAACGGAAAACGTGTATTTTTGTACTCCATATACTCCCTCCGTTCACAATTATTTGGCAGGTATACTAAAAATAGATGTCCAAGATTAATTGTCAATTTAAACAATCAAGAAATAATTAGTCACTTTTTTTCCAATTCTGCCCTTAATGATAATGTAGTTCAATTGAAAAGTTATGTGGACTTTTGGTATTCTTGGTATAATAGGGTTATATTAGTCAAATTACACCTTGTATTAAATTTTCCTTGAGGGGTGTGCATGACCTTACCCTGACAAACAATTGTGGACGGATGAAGTATTAGATAGGTTGTCGAGCGTGGTACGAATTCGCCTCGAAAGTCCTACATTAAGGGTAAAACGCTCTCTAACAAAGGTGATTGCATGTTCATGGGATATAAATTTGAGACTTCTGATTAAGAATGAAAAAATACTTATCACTCCACCACAATTGTTGTTGGTGATAATACACGGATCAGACGGTATGTGAAAAGTCATTACTCATAAGTAATACTAAAATATTTTACTTTGAAATAATGGACACGTAAAAGATTATTGCTTTCTATTTCTTAGCTAAATTTTTCTTTCTTTCATTGTTTTGATTGTATTTATTTTTAATTTTTAGTATATTGAAAAATAGTTTCTCTACCTTACAAAGATAACAATAAGATCTACGTATATTTGATATTCCCAAACTTTATTTATATGAATATACTTGATATTATTGTTGTGTTGTACGTTGTGCTTAAGAGGTTGGACGTTTAAAATATTGTGTTTTAACAAGCTTAAGGATTTAGTTGACAAAGTGATGAGTAGAAAGGTTCAGAACACAAACACATATAAATATAAAGCTCCATCAAACCATTTCGCTTATATGTGATCTTGATTGGGTTGGACCAAATGGGCCCACCTGTCCAGTTGGTAAAATAATGTTAAAACATAGGGACACCTATCGATGCATGAATGGTTTAAGACCACGAGGGTGCATATTTCTCTTTTTGTCAACCATTAAGGGGATCTAATAATTTTATTTTTTTATTTTATTTTATTTTCTCATTTGATGTTTGGTGTAGACCCTATAGTTTTTTCGAATTTTGTATTGAACGCATAATATAATTAAAATCCGTCAAATTTTGTTTGAGCATATCTATTTTGAATTCAGAAAGTTTCATTTAAGAAGATTAAATGCTTCTTATTAACGGTGAGGCTCTTCAAAATTTAATTTTGAACTTTTTGATGAACAAAAGATTAGAATGTATTATCTCACTACGATTTGAAATGAATTTGGAAAATGTAGAAATCTTACGTCTAGAATTAGAGAAATCAAGGATTGTATTAATGAAAATAATATTGAGTTACAACCTCCTTATATAGGGAGAATTGTAGAGTCCTAAGTTAACTATACTTAGAGTCCTACTACAATACATATTACAATAATAATAATAATAATAATAATAATAATAATAATAATAATAATAATGCAATTATAAATAATCTAATCCTAGTCGTAATATAATTCTAATTAATATAAGTAGTCTAATCCTAGTGCAACTCTAGTTCTACAGCAGTGTTGTAAACTCGTCAGTCAGCTTCGTTGGACATGTTCCTTTGACATGTTCCAATCATCAGCTTCCTTCTTCATCAACACTTGTTGCAGACACGTCAGTCAGCTTCGTTGGACATGTTCCTTTGACATGTTCCAATCGTCAGCTTCCTTCTTCTTCAACATAAAATTGTTTCTACTATTTACCAAAATGATTGGTGATTTATTTATAATCAAAATCAATATTCTTTCACTTATATCATTTCTTACTATAAGATATGTAATTGTGGAAACATGTGTTTTTTTCTAGGGATCATTTCACGTTTGGTTGATTGTATTAGATTAATTAATCTAGCATAAAATATTGACTAAGATACTATAGTGAAAGTTAGTGGCATTTTTATTTTTCTTGGCTACCAAACTTGTTTGAAATTTATGCCCTTCTTCACAAGTCGTTAACTTCTCCATTAAAATTTTAGGGATACATTTGTCGGTTCACTTTTACTTGTCACTTATTTCTAAAATAAATTTTCATTTTTACTTCACTTTTGACATATCAAGAAAAGACAATTATATTTTCCATGTTTTACCCTCAACGTTAAATACTTTTTTTCCAAGATATTACTCCCTCCATTCAATATTGATTGAATTTTTGAGGTGTTTCACACCCTTTAAGAAAAGTAGATTAAGACATAAATTGAACGTAATTTTTCATTTTTATCCTTATTAATTATTGTCAAATTTATTGAAGTCATCACATTGAAAATCCAAATGAAGGGTAAAATTGGAAGAACACTCTAAAAACAGTCTTGAAAACTGAACAATTAAGTTAAGAGAAGTGCTAAATGACCAGAAAATTTGGCCAGAATTTGGCTAGAAAATGAAAAAAACTATAATATTTTTTTTATGTTAAAATAAATTGATCTTTTTCCCATTTTTAGTTAAAATGTATTAAAGTTAAAAGGGTAAAAATGTTTTAAAAGGTAAAATAACATAAATAAAATATCATTCTAGCCAAATTTACTGGCCAAAAAGTTTTTTCCTTAAGTTAATTTGAAAAATGAAAAATGCCTCAAAAATTCAATTAATATGAAATGAAGGGAGTATTTAATAAGTGATAGTTTGATAAAATGCATATATCATTAATTATTTTTTAATGGGTGTGTCAAATCAAATTATAACAAGTAAAGTGAGTGGAGGGAGTAACTTTATCCAAACTAATTCAATAAAAAAGAGAAAAAAAATTCTCTGTGTAATTAATGTATTACTAATTATTTTTTTGTTCTTTTTATATTGCTATGTTTTTTTAAGCTCATTCGTGAAATTTTATTTAGTGTATTGTATATTATTATATATTTCAAACTAGTGTTATGAGGATTGCTTTGTTAGGTGTAGTGGTGTGTATCGATCGGTTCGGTTCGATTTTAAGTATTATCGGTTCAGTTTATCGGTTTTCGGTTTTTAAATATGCTAAACCGATAACCAAATCAATAAGATATTTGTTATCGGTTTTCGATTTATCGGTTTTGGTCTTTAACGGTTCGGTTTTCGGTTTAACCAATAAGAAAATCTTTCAGAATAAATCTATGACTTGTCCAACAATTTAACGCGAAATATAAAAGAGAGAAATCTAATTACTCATTAAGTGCAAAAATTATGCTTAGTGTAGTAAAAGTATAGCAAATGCTCACAATTCACAACCCTAGTCGTTGCCTAACCATTGCCGTCATCGTTTTTAGTTCTTTAGGTTTTTGACGTTGTGAACCTAAAGACTAAAGTAATACTAAAACCTAAAGGGTAAATGCAGAGATCGGGGTTAATTAAGTAGTGTTAATTGTGTAGGGTCCTTCTAGTTATAGTCTAATATAGTGATTATATTAATATTTTTTGTTTGGTATTTATGTATGACTAAAAAATAAAATAGTAAATTATATTATTAATGGGTTATCAGTTAACCCAATAACCCAATATTAAAAAATCAATATCGAACCGATAACCCAATAAATGTTTTTTTACAAAACCATTAAATAACCGTCAACCCAATAACAATAAATCAATAACACTTTTTTCGGTTAGATTTATTGGTCGGTTCGGTTTTTGCACACCCCTACTTAGGTGTTTGTATATGAATATTCAAAATAGGTTTCAATTGAAAAAGTAATAATTTCTAAAATTAAAATTGTGTTTTGACATAGAAATATAATGTAACGTCTTTTTCCCGTCGTTATAGAAAAGCAAATGAGGAAATAATTTGGGACAAAAAAACTTTTTGTAGTAACTTGAAATTTCCTAGCCTAGTCCAAATTTGGACGAAATCATAGTCGAGAGTCTAGGGAAATTTGGTAATGAATAAGAGATTTAATAATTGATTCGATTGCATGACTAGATAGCTAAGATGTTAAGGAACCCGTACGACTTTACGGAATCGAATTCGGGTGAGTGGAACTCTCGAAACTGAACTTAGCGTGAAATAGTAGTTTTTGAATGTCATGAGTTAGAGGTGTGTTGAGAAAATGGGGTTTGAAACTCTAATTTCAACTCTCTGTTTCCGTGCAAGCCTCCAAGGCGGGATTTATTCCTACAAGGTGGGGCCGCTGTGGAGGGTTGAGTCCCGCTACAACGGGCCAGTCACGACTTAAGTCGGAATTAAATCCCAAAAATGTTATTTTCTGCAAGTTTCGTTCTTGAGATCTAGGAGATGACCCCAAGTGATTTCTTGACAGTTTTCCACGACTTTTGGTGCTAAGGATAAGGATTATACTCCCCTAATCCATTTTTTCGATCCGTAGATCTTAGATTCTTGGTTAATTATTATTGGGGGAGGGTTTTTGGACTGAATTTAATGGTGGAAAAAATCCCTAGCTGCATCTTAGAATCATGGGTTTGATCTAGGATTATTGGGTTCGTTATAATCCAGATAATTAGACCTTTGATTGTTGATCCTTGCGTATATTAGTTGTTTGTAGACCTAGAAAAAGCGGAAGAATCCGGAAAGGGAAGATTCAAGTGCCTTAGGGGATTCAAGCTTGGTTTCGAGGTAGGTGATGGTTTGATTTCATGTTTATGTGATATGTGTTGGTAATTGCTTCATTGCAATGCATGAATGTAGCCTTGTTGATCAAACCTAATGAAATGAGTATGAATGAACAAATGTATGTCATGATTAAACACTGGATTGTATGATTATGAGAATGTACTTATGAGTGTGATTGTGATTGTGGTTGTGTTGAATGGATCGGGTGTCATGTTTCAGCACACTAACTTGGATTGGGTGCCACGTTTCGACGCATATATGGGATCGGGTGTCACGTCCGGCACACTAATTGGGATC